TGGGGAGAGAGATATTAATTAATTAATTAATTAATTAATTGAAACAGCAGGGCAGTGGCTAAAATGCTAAAGAGTCTATGTACAGCCACAGTGACTTAGCAGGGAGTTTTGTGAATAGTTAAGACATATTTATGTATAAGAAGAAATGAAAGCTCTGTAAAATCACATTTTATTTTATTTTACGGGTTTTAGCCTCACCGATACAGGTGTACCGCCCGTTGATGTACACGAGTCTGAAGCCCAGGTGACATTTACAGATGAAGCTCCCGAAAGTGTTCACGCACTTTCTGCGACGAGGACACACGCCTCCACCCAAGAAACACTCGTCGATGTCTGAACAGAAAGAAAAAGGTGGAGGACGAAAGATGATCCTGCACTTCTTCATCCAGGAATTTAAAAAAGCAAGCTAACTTACCGACGCAGGTGCGTCTGTCTGGACCCAGGCGTAACCCTGGCGATGGACAGGTGCATCGCACTGCCCCTTTGATCACCTCACAGCCATACTGACAGTTGGCATGGTAACAGGTTTGGGTATCTGCGAGCGTACAGACACCAAAAAAAATCCAAGTATGACTCACAGAGAAAAATAAACAGGACAAAAAGGATTATAATGTTTGTCTTTACTAAGAGACAACTCATAAAACACTCTGCACAAGAAAAACAAGTAGGCCTCATAAAGCTGGTGACTGCACTGTGTTTTAGCTTATAGCTCACACTGAACACGTGCATAAATACTTCTGCGAAAGGGAATCGAACGCTCGATGAGTAACTCACTCCTGCAGCTGCCGTCCGGCTGCAGCACGTACCCGTCCACGCAGTAACACTTGTAGCTGCCTGGCGTGTTCATGCAGCGGTGTTTGCAGGGCCGAGGCTTCACGCCACACTCGTTCAGATCTGAAACTCACACACACAGAGGGGGTATTAAACATAAAACTCCTCCCTGTTTTCACTCATCTTGTCAGCCTGCGGGATTAACCTTTGACCTTAAGCCCTGAGCATTTTAAATAAGTGTGTGTTTGTAAAAACACCTCTTGCTCTGAGACAAAAAGTGCATTCCAGGTGGAACAAATCACCCACTCCTCAGGTAAACACCTGGTTTAACCCTTTATTACCACAGGCTCAGTAGCAGGGCCATTTTACAAGCGCTCTTTAAATTTCCATTTGTGCTACAGACAAACTTGAATCATTTTTGGAAAGGAGAGAAGACGGGCTTTATGCTGACAGTTGATTTATCGTGGCAGCACAGAGGAAAATCAGCTCCAAATAGATTTTGCCATGTGCGCTTCACATTTTGGGCTCGAGAGAAAACTGAAATGGTTCCTGAAAGAAGAGAATTATTTTAGAATTTTGCAATTTTGTGTGTTAAAGGGTTAAGTTATCTAAGTGTTGGAGAAACATCTGAGTTTAGATAAACTCAGGACTGAAACCATCATAAGCAGGATGGTCGTGTCCTCTCAAAGACAGAAGTCCAAACACACACGCTGTGTGACAGAGTGTCTCTGGGGGGGTCTCCAGATGCTGTTTTATGGTCAGGATATGAGTCATAATGAAGCCTCTAATCAGGACATTAACACTGTGTGTGGGTGGAGTAGGCCTAAGATTAGAAACAGTAGTTAGAGTGTGTTTGTGTGTTTTGGGGGTCTTCAGGTAAAACACGCCCTTGCAGGTCAAACAAACATGACAGGAATGCATCTGTTTTGTTGAGGCAAAACAGATGCATGATGGGCAATCTGATCTCTGTGAAACCAGGAGTCCACATCTGGACCAGCTCCCTGCAGATGTGCTGAAGAGTTCTCACTTTGTGAGCTAACTTTATGAGCAATCTCCTATTCTGTCAGGTTATTAAAAGGCAGTTTTATATCTATCTTAATTTAGAAACACACCTGTGAGGTTCACTGCTGCACTGCTCATGCACTGAGGTTAATTTAGAAGCAGATCCACAGTCAAGTTTTAACATGCAGCTTTCGTACTTTCTTCTCTGTACCCACACACACTAGCAAAAATCACACTAGCAAGATGTGACTGAAGTACAGACTTCCGGCTTTAATTCAAATGGGTTTAACAAAAGTGCTCAGGAATCACAGCCATTTTTACCCAGTTGACTGACATCAACTGCTTGAAAGGCAGCTATGCTAACCACTATACCTCCAACATTCACAACCACCAAACAAACATGAATGAATGACTAAAGGCAAAGGCTTCACAACAAGGTGCAAAACACTGGTTAAATTCAAAAACATGAAGGTGAGATGAGACATTTTTATCAGAATGATGGAGGATAGAAACGGGCAATGATCCAAAGCACCACAGTATCTATCTCTGCCATGGTATGGCATGGCCAGTTTTAAAAAATGTGATATTCCTTATTAACAGCAACACAGCATCTGTGCATCACTCATATCTAAATGTAACACCTCCATTTAATTACAAATGCATAAAAATAGAGAAGTTTGAATAGGTACGTCTGAACCTGGTGTACTCTGTGCTGAGTAAAAAGACATACCTTGGTTACACGCCTTTCCCGTGTATCCTGGGTGACATTTGCACTGGTCTGGTTTCACACACTCTCCATGTTTACAGCCCTGCTGGCAGTGAGCTGCACACACACACACACACACACAGAGAGGGTGTTAACATACACTGAATCATGTACAAACATATGTCAGGCTGACTGGCTGCAGATCAGTTTTCAGTCCTAAATAAAATAACACACTCCGGTCTCTGCAGCTGCTCCTTCAGTGTTTAAACCCTGAACAGATTCACAAAAACACAGTTAAAGCTGATTTCCTTCCTTCCAAGCAGCTGCTGGTTTAACAAAGAACCATCAGTCAACACAGTCCAGTTTATTTGTCGACTGGTTTCCATCACCAGTCTGACTGTGGTCCCCCATTGAAACAAATGTAAACTTTCTCTAACCAACATGCTGGTTTTGCTGGGGATGCTAGCTTGCTAGCATTAGCTGACAGCTGATCGCTGAACCCTAGGGTTGAAATACCATCATGTCTGACCTCACAAACCAACAAATGCCTGATCACAAAAGCTAAAACTGAAGCTTAAAAATATGCAGGTTAAAAAAAAAAACTACAAGTGACATCACTGTATCTACTGCCTTCTTCTATATACAGTCTGTGTCTTTAACAGCTATCAGCAGTCGCATTAAGTAGGTTAAAAGGAAAGTCCACTGGCTGATCAGTTGGTTAGGGAGGATTTTAGACTGACTTCACTGAAAGGACGTATAAATGTGTGTCCTTACGTTCACATCGCCCCCAGTCCAACTGTTTCCAGCCCCAGCAGCACTCCACGCTGTTTCCATAGCGACAGAGTCCACGGGACAACGTGGCCTGGTCCGCCCAGCTGCAAGCACACATGAACACACAGCATGTTTGAGGATCATATCATGTTGTTAGGATTGGGGCGTTGTGGGGGGGTGTTGCTGCCTGCACGGGGTCATGTGACCCTGTGGATGAACAAAAATCCAATGAACTGTTAGGACAACAAGAAAGACACAGAAACAATCTGAGGGAAAAATATGACTTGAGGCTTTAAAAAAACTACTCTGTGGCTCCATGACTTTTTTATGTCGCCTGTATAGTTGTGACTGTGTGGAGAGAGAGAGAGAGAGAGAGAGAGTCAGAGTGTGTGATGTGTGTAGTGGAGAGAGGTGGTGTGCTGGTGTGGTGCGTGCGGTGAGGTGTCGTGTGTGTGTGTGTGTGTGTGTGTGTGTGTGTGTGTGTGTGTGTGAGTGTGTTATTTTATTTAGGACTGAAAACTGATCTGCAGCCAGTCAGCCTGACATATGTTTGTACATGATTCAGTGTATGTTAACACCCTCTCTGTGTGTGTGTGTGTGTGTGTGCAGCTCACTGCCAGCAGGGCTGTAAACATGGAGAGTGTGTGAAACCAGACCAGTGCAAATGTCACCCAGGATACACGGGAAAGGCGTGTAACCAAGGTATGTCTTTTTACTCAGCACAGAGTACACCAGGTTCAGACGTACCTATTCAAACTTCTCTATTTTTATGCATTTGTAATTAAATGGAGGTGTTACATTTAGATATGAGTGATGCACAGATGCTGTGTTGCTGTTAATAAGGAATATCACATTTTTTTTAAACTGGCCATGCCATACCATGGCAGAGATAGATACTGTGGTGCTTTGGATCATTGCCCGTTTCTATCCTCCATCATTCTGATAAAAATGTCTCATCTCACCTTCATGTTTTTGAATTTAACCAGTGTTTTGCACCTTGTTGTGAAGCCTTTGCCTTTAGTCATTCATTCATGTTTGTTTGGTGGTTGTGAATGTTGGAGGTATAGTGGTTAGCATAGCTGCCTTTCAAGCAGTTGATGTCAGTCAACTGGGTAAAAATGGCTGTGATTCCTGAGCACTTTTGTTAAACCCATTTGAATTAAAGCCGGAAGTCTGGACTTCAGTCACATCTTGCTAGTGTGATTTTTGCTAGTGTGTGTGGGTACAGAGAAGAAAGTACGAAAGCTGCATGTTAAAACTTGACTGTGGATCTGCTTCTAAATTAACCTCAGTGCATGAGCAGTGCAGCAGTGAACCTCACAGGTGTGTTTCTAAATCAAGATAGATATAAAACTGCCTTTTAATAACCTGACAGAATAGGAGATTGCTCATAAAGTTAGCTCACAAAGTGAGAACTCTTCAGCACATCTGCAGGGAGCTGGTCCAGATGTGGACTCCTGGTTTCACAGAGATCAGATTGCCCATCATGCATCTGTTTTGCCTCAACAAAACAGATGCATTCCTGTCATGTTTGTTTGACCTGCAAGGGCGTGTTTTACCTGAAGACCCCCAAAACACACAAACACACTCTAACTACTGTTTCTAATCTTAGGCCTACTCCACCCACACACAGTGTTAATGTCCTGATTAGAGGCTTCATTATGACTCATATCCTGACCATAAAACAGCATCTGGAGACCCCCCCAGAGACACTCTGTCACACAGCGTGTGTGTTTGGACTTCTGTCTTTGAGAGGACACGACCGTCCTGCTTATGATGGTTTCAGTCCTGAGTTTATCTAAACTCAGATGTTTCTCCAACACTTCAGAGCACACCGCTCTGTCTTCCTTTCATTTAGATAACTTAACCCTTTAACACACAAAATTGCAAAATTCTAAAATAATTCTCTTCTTTCAGGAACCATTTCAGTTTTCTCTCGAGCCCAAAATGTGAAGCGCACATGGCAAAATCTATTTGGAGCTGATTTTCCTCTGTGCTGCCACGATAAATCAACTGTCAGCATAAAGCCCGTCTTCTCTCCTTTCCAAAAATGATTCAAGTTTGTCTGTAGCACAAATGGAAATTTAAAGAGCGCTTGTAAAATGGCCCTGCTACTGAGCCTGTGGTAATAAAGGGTTAAACCAGGTGTTTACCTGAGGAGTGGGTGATTTGTTCCACCTGGAATGCACTTTTTGTCTCAGAGCAAGAGGTGTTTTTACAAACACACACTTATTTAAAATGCTCAGGGCTTAAGGTCAAAGGTTAATCCCGCAGGCTGACAAGATGAGTGAAAACAGGGAGGAGTTTTATGTTTAATACCCCCTCTGTGTGTGTGAGTTTCAGATCTGAACGAGTGTGGCGTGAAGCCTCGGCCCTGCAAACACCGCTGCATGAACACGCCAGGCAGCTACAAGTGTTACTGCGTGGACGGGTACGTGCTGCAGCCGGACGGCAGCTGCAGGAGTGAGTTACTCATCGAGCGTTCGATTCCCTTTCGCAGAAGTATTTATGCACGTGTTCAGTGTGAGCTATAAGCTAAAACACAGTGCAGTCACCAGCTTTATGAGGCCTACTTGTTTTTCTTGTGCAGAGTGTTTTATGAGTTGTCTCTTAGTAAAGACAAACATTATAATCCTTTTTGTCCTGTTTATTTTTCTCTGTGAGTCATACTTGGATTTTTTTTGGTGTCTGTACGCTCGCAGATACCCAAACCTGTTACCATGCCAACTGTCAGTATGGCTGTGAGGTGATCAAAGGGGCAGTGCGATGCACCTGTCCATCGCCAGGGTTACGCCTGGGTCCAGACAGACGCACCTGCGTCGGTAAGTTAGCTTGCTTTTTTAAATTCCTGGATGAAGAAGTGCAGGATCATCTTTCGTCCTCCACCTTTTTCTTTCTGTTCAGACATCGACGAGTGTTTCTTGGGTGGAGGCGTGTGTCCTCGTCGCAGAAAGTGCGTGAACACTTTCGGGAGCTTCATCTGTAAATGTCACCTGGGCTTCAGACTCGTGTACATCAACGGGCGGTACACCTGTATCGGTGAGGCTAAAACCCGTAAAATAAAATAAAATGTGATTTTACAGAGCTTTCATTTCTTCTTATACATAAATATGTCTTAACTATTCACAAAACTCCCTGCTAAGTCACTGTGGCTGTACATAGACTCTTTAGCATTTTAGCCACTGCCCTGCTGTTTCAATTAATTAATTAATTAATTAATTAATTAATTAATTTATTTATTTTTGGGGGGGAAGTGACCATATTTGGACAAGAAGGTGAAGTTTTAACTTATCAGTTAATGCTAGTGTATTTGGTTTGCAAGCAGCATCACAAGACTGTATGGGTGCATCACACCTATCTAAATATCTAACCCATAGTTAGATAGGTTTACTGCAATTAACTTCACAGCAGCCATATTAGCGGTCAGACAATCACATGTAAAATGTTCCGATATGCTAACAGCATAATATGACAAACATGCCACAGGTCCAGTTCAGGGACTCTAGTTACCTGAGGTGGAGCCTAGCAGACAGCTAGCAGCGACATCTGCCTGTTTCCAATGATCTATAAAGACCAAAATGGTTTTTGTTTTTTGTAGCAGGCTGTAAACATGTTTAGTCTGCTGTGAAGTTGGCCAGTTTGACATCTGAGTCTGTGGGGACTGACTGAGTTTAGGGGGCCCTCAAGTGGACATTAGAGGGACTGCAGTCTATCAATTCCATGCTGGCTTTATTTTTAGTTCTGGAGGTTGCTGCTTGTTTTAATGGAATGTTTTATCTGCTGTTTTAGCCATAAAAATATGCTTTGTTAGTCGAATTCATTTTTTAGACTGATTTCTGGTGTTGTAAATAACTTATTCTTCAGACTTAATCAGAATGAAGTTTAATTTGTTAGAAGTTAAAAGAAAAAAGAAAAGAAGGCGCTTCTTCCTCGTTTCTCTCTTTGTTACCAGATAAGGACACTCGTCCGTTCTGCTCTCTGAATCCATCGTCTCCAAAGTGCAAGTGTAAAGACGGCAGCTGCAAAGGTAAAAACAGCTCTTTATCACAAACACCTGTCCATCTCTTAAAAGGTTAGGTTAGGGTTTATTCTTTAGACTTTTCTTGTCGTTTCAAATAAAAAGAGAAATCTGTCGAGTTCTGAAGTTGTATGCTGCATTTCACACAATCATATAATCAGCACGGTAAAGTAAAATGATGGAAAAAAGTTTAGATCTGTTGATTCGGTAGTGTCCCAGACCTTCCTTCAGCCTCTGTCTTCTGACTCTTTTATTGCTACTCAGGACAGATGAGAGGCAGGTGTTGGTGAACTGCAGGCACCAGTCAGACACATTTCAATGATAAAATCTGCTTCAAAGTCTGAGCTGAACTTCAGCTTTGCTTCTGTAAATTTCCCCACCAAAAACACAAAACTTTAAAAAAGGTGTTGAGCTTATAATTAGCTCCACTTTGGGCTGAAACAACATAATGAACACTGGCTTTGTCATATCTTCACACACTGCTTCTGGTTTAGATTTAAATAAATAATGACACAGTGCAATATGCCATGTGAATTTTTTCCTTTGAGGTTGGATTTCATAATCTTCTATAGTATTATGTTTTAATTAGTGCTGTCAAAATAACGCGTTAAAGCAAATTAATCCGCCATCACGGTCAACGCGATTAAAATGTTTAATGTAATTAACGCATCTGGAGCACAGAATGACTCAAAATCCCTGAAATATTTCAGCTAACACATTTCGGGCAGTTTGTCCAAGTAGAGTTACCTATGCACATTCGCAAATAGGCAGTTGATCTGGTAGTGACGGGCAGCTGAACCAATCAACTCTATATGGAAGATGATAATGATTTCTCAATGGGAAATTTGAGTATTAAAAAATAACAAGACGGAGCAGTCGACCGACATAAAGCATTATGCACATTGTGCCAGAAGGAATTTTCTTTTCACCGAAGCACTTTGAGCTTAAAATTTCACATTGACCCAAAGCATACATTAGTCTGGGATGGTGCTAGGACTTTGGCTAATGCATCACCCAGCTTGCGACAAACCACTCACGGAGCAGGGGACTCAGTAAGTCTACCTCGGACATATTGACTGAAACAATTCAATTCAATTCAATTCAATTTTATTTATATAGCGCCAAATCACAACATAAGTCGCCACAATGCCATGTGGATTGCAACAAACTGCAGACCTATTAATATCAATGAGAACACGCTCTTTACATAGCTTTGGTTCCTCATTTCAAGGACTTGAAGTGCCAGAGAGAGAGTGGATAAATGTTTACAGAGTTTTTTGTTAACGTGAATGTTCAAGCTGTTCAATAAACACGTTAAGTGCGTATATTTTCCCTTTTTCTTGAGTTTGTTTGCTCATGCAAAATGAAATGCGATTAATATAGAATAAAAATGAATGATATTTAATCGTGACTAATCAATATTAATGCACAGTAGCCCAGTGATGAATCTGATTCAATATTTTAATCGTTTGCCAACAGTAATATATATTATATATTAGTGTACACTTACCTATTAGTATATAGGTTTTTAAAAAAAGTTGTATTTCACAGGAGAGAACCTGTGTTAAAAGATACAAGTTAAAACTATTTAAATTCTCTCTGAAATGCTGTCATTGGACTAACATCACACAAAGTCTAAATATGATGTCTTAGCAGACAAACAATAGACAGACAAACAGATTATATAATATAAAGTTGGGTCTGAGAACAGCCTGTGTAGATCAACAGCATGGAAACATGAAGGAAACCTGAATCTCTTTCTCTTCTTTACAGCTGATGGAAAGATTAAATTCACTTCTTTACGTCCCAGCACACTAGTTCTTGTTCCAGTTGTTTTATTGGTCTTATGCCTCTTGTGTATCAGTTAATGGCACACAATTTATCCAGACTGTACAAATATCGCCTAACAACCACTCATTTTCCACCTGCCTGCCCGCCCTGAGGTTTACACTGTTTTTAAGCATGTCAGCAGTTCCCCCGACTGCAAGTTTTGTTTTTGTTCAGAGAAAAAAAAGGAGCATAAGTTATGTTATGTGAATTTACAATAACTATAATTACATTTGCTCTCAATAAAAGATATTTGAAACAAGTTTTGTTTTTGGCCTCAAACTCTGAGGCAGCAGTAAAGTTCACTTTCTTTGTTTTACTCATAGCCATCCCCAAAGTGACGGTAGAACCGCAGAGACCAAGAACTACAACTCCCATGACCTCCACCATCATCACTACCGCTACATCTCCTCCAACCACCACAACTACTCCCATCCCAACAACCTCCCTGTCTACATCCACTGATGTTATGACCACCACTCCAACACCTATAACTGATACCACTGCTACACCAGTTACTGCCACTACAACAACAACACTTGCTGCTACTACTACAACTGAAATGGATACGACAACTCCCACAACGCCTCCTCCGTCCACCACTTCTGCTATTACTACTCCTAGTACAACAACAAATGTTACTACCATCACTGCAAGTTCAACTACACCCACCACTCTGCTAACTACAACCCAGACGACACCTTCTTCTCCTCCTCCTCCAACAACAACAACACCAGCATTCACTACAGTGCTGCCGAGTACCTCGCTGCAAACCACCACGGTGAACAACAAGATCAACAAAGACGTGACACAAAAGCAGCGAGGAGACGTGCACAGTAAGGACACACAAACACAGCACACATCCACGGACCTGCCGAGTATGAGCTCGCCCAATCACACTGTTTATTAATTAATTGGGAAGAAGTCACTCTTGTTGCTGTGTTTCATTATGGCCAAGTACAAAGTTAATGTTATAAAATGTTTGCTGTGAAATGTTAGCTTCATGTATCAAATACTTTTATTTTTAAAGCCAGTTCATCAACTTTCAGGACATTTTTTCAAACACTGAAATCATCAGTTTCTCAAAAACTATTAAGGACTAAAGTCTGAACTTTCCACGGACCCCAACGTAAAAGTGACTCAGTGTCTGTAATTTGGGAGAGATGCAGGTCTGAATGTTGACCAGTAAAAATAGAAAAAGAAAAAAGAAAGCCCACTCTGAGTCGGGGATGAGTTCCTGCCCCAAGTGGAGGAGTTCAAGTATCTCGGGGTCTTGTTCGCGAGTGATGGGAGAAGGGAGCCGGAGATCGACAGACGGATTGGGGCTGCAGCTGCAGTAATGCAGACGCTGCAACGGTCCGTCGTGGTGAAGAGGGAGCTGAGTGTAAAAGCGAAGCTCTCAATTTACCGGTCGATCTACGTCCCTACCCTCACCTATGGCCACGAGCTGTGGGTAGTGACCGAAAGAACGAGATCGCGGATACAAGCGGCGGAAATGAGCTTCCTCCGAAGGGTGGCTGGCCTCTCCCTTAGAGATAGGGTGAGAAGTTCGGCCATCCGGGAGGGGCTCAGAGTAGAGCAGCTGCTGCTCCACATCGAAAGGAGCCAGAGTAGGTGATTCGGGCATCTGACAAGGATGCCCCCTGGGGGCCTCCTGGGTGAGGTGTTCTGGGCATGTCCCACCGGGAGGAGGCCCCAGGGCAGACCCAGGACACGCTGGAGAGATTATATCTCTTGGCTGGCCTGGGAATGCCTTGGTATTCCCCCGGATAAGCTGGAGGAGGTGGCTGGGGAGAGGGAGGTCTGGGCCTCTTTGCTTAGGCTGCTGACCCTGCGACCCGACCCCGGATAAAGCGGAAGAAGATGGATGGATGGAAAAGAAAGTCCAACACTTGTGTAAATTCTAATTGGGGTGGCTGTAGCTCAGGTGGCAGAGCAGGTCAGCCACTAATCAGAAGGTTGGTGGTTCGATCCCAGGCTGCCTCCTGGCTGCATGCCAAATATCCTTGGGCAAGATACTAACCCCATGTTTGCCTACTGGTGGTGGTCAGAGGGCCCGGTGGCGCCTGTGTCCTGTGCCTTGCCTCTGTCAGTGCGCCCCAGGCCAGCTGTGGCTACAATGTAGCTTGCTATTGCCAGTGTGTGAATGTAGTGTAAAGCGCTTTGGGGTCCTTAAGGACTAAAAAAGCGCTATATAAATGCAGGCCATTTAATATTAACATCCTAGGACCTGGCGTCCACATATGTGGACATCACATTATTATTGATTTAGTTATTTAGACTAAAATACTCAATTTTGGTGTACAGGGGCCTGATATCCACTTACGAGGACATTATACTGCTACTGTTCTATCAAAATTTTAAACGAATATCCTCATATGTGGCTCTTATTTTTCTTAAAAACAAAAATAAGGTTGAAAAAAAAAAGGTAATTCTTTGTTTTTACATTCATCGGGTCCCAATATGCCCAAATATCAAAGAAAAATTAAAAATGCATGTCGTGGAAGAGTTCGGGTCTTAGGAGGTTAAAGCAGAAAGAAAAAACAAATTAAATTAGTTGGTGTGTTGTTGAATTTCACAGTAATGTCAAATGAAACACTTAGAGTACTTTTTAACATGAAATACTTGATTACAAAAATAAAGAAATTTCTATTTTCATTTGACTTTAATGCTCGATTGAGAAGATGCAACAAAGTAAAAAATATCAAAAACAGTCAAAAACGAAAGAAGGTCAAGCAGGAGATACAATAGCGTTGAAGCTAACCTTCATGTTTCAGTATGTTTGGTCTACTTAAAGTTTTATAAAGCTTCACACTGCCAGTTAGAGCTTCAGCAGCTCCACCAAGATCATGGTGGATGTGAAGCCTCCTCTCAAAACGCAAAAATTAGCTACTTAATATGAGAAACAAAAAATTAAGAAGATCCAGACTATAATCAAGCGAAATAATCTGGCAGTAAGATGATTTCACTTGGTAAGATTTCTTAAAATAAGAATTTTTTTTAAACATGTGAGAAATATCTTAAAGGAAGTGCTGAAACACTCCTTCCAAAACAATTCAAAACTAGCCTGTCAATGCTTCTTTCTCATTGTGAGAGAAAATATCTTTGAAAAAAGATGATTCTTCTAAGGCACACACTGAAGTCGAACCCAGGATGGTGTTGCTGTGAGGCAGTCGTGCTAATCACTGCTCCAGTATTCTTACCTTTTGTAAATCGTTACTGGGAGGTCTTGAAGTAAGATTTTTGTCTGATTGCGTTGTTACTAAGCCAAAATAATTCAAAGAAGTGACTTAGATTGATGTCTTCCAGTTAAAAATTCATGAAAATAAACAAAGGTAGAAAAATGAAACCAGTTTTTGCATGCTAATCTAGACTTTAAATTTTTTTTAGGATATGTAAGAAAGTAAAAACTGCAAACTTTGGACTTCAGTCTGGTTTTCACATGTGTGTATACAAAGCCTGCGTGTCGGTTGAAGAGGACTAACATTGATTTTTCTCTTTTAAAAATTTCAGTAATTAGTTTATATATGTGCTGGTGTGTTTGCTTTTGTTGGTTTATAGACTGAATGTCTTTGATGGGCAGTTAGAAGCATTTTAAATACTGAATATCAGCATGAACCAAACAATACATTTAGGATAAACTGATCGTTTACTTATTTGTGTGTGTGTGCTCTGCAGTCCCTCGACATCCCGGTCACAACCACGTGTGGGAGTTTGACATCGAGCTGGGAAACATCGCGGAAGATGCCAGAGACGATCCTGGTAAGCACCGGTTACACTGCGTGATAAAGGAGGTTAATATTCATATTTTTAAAAAGCAGACACATCTCATTTCCCTGTTTAAAAGAGGAGATTACAGGGTCATATCAAACTTCCCCAGCTGGTGACTTTAGTAGCATTCCTGTTTCCCTTCTTTGATCATAGAGGTCGGGGAGCTCCGTTGCAGCTTCAATCACAGACTCTGTGACTGGATGTCTGACAGTGAGGGAGATCTACACTGGGAGACGGTTCAAAGTCCTGCAGGTAACACACACACACACACACACACACACACACACACACACACACACACACACGTTTTCATGTCATAGTAAGGATGTCTGATTGACATGATGTGTTCCCAGTGAAAAGTAGAATTAGTTTCAATTCAGTTTCTGCTCTGATGATCGTATGTGTCTCAGGTGGGTGGTACCTATCTGTCCCCGAGCTGAAGGCGGGACAGACAAGCATCCGTGGTGCTCGACTGGCCATCCAGGTAGTCCCTTCCTGGAGCCATGGCGACCTGTGTCTCTCCTTCTCCCATTGGTTGACGGGGCATCACGTGGGCGTGCTGCAGCTGTTCGTCAGGAAAAAGGGACGAGACCAAAGGTACTCGAGTCAAAGTGCCACGACTGTTAACTCCTGCTGGAGTCGCCTCTGTAACACTTTTTGCTGCTGCAGGTATGGCCCCGCCCTCTGGAGTAGGACAGGTGGGCACGGTTGGAGACACACGCATGTCACCTTGACAACACACTCTCTGGACAGGGTGAGGCAGACGTACATGACCCAAATTTGTTGCTGAGCTGAGTTTGTGAAGCTGATGATGACAGATGTGTGTGTGTGCAGGTGCTGCTCAAGGTCGAGCGGAGGATTGGACGAAGAGGACAGATCGCTGTTGACGATGTCACTTTGAGACGGGGGCCATGTCGATGACACCAAATATAGACCTTCAGGTCACATGATTTAAAGGACCAATGTTGCTGCAATCCCAGCATCAGGATTTCTGCCCCCTCAGAGGAAGAGGAAGTTATGTGGGTTTGTGGTGAAGCCACAGCAGCAGTGCTTCAGTTTAAATTTTGTGCTGCGTGACAGTAGAAGTTCCTGTTTATGAGCCGGACTGAAGATTTGGAAACACTCAGAATTCATTTTGGAAAGGTTTCAGATTTACTTTAACTGTTTACTTTATATGTTAATGAGTGCAAAGATTTATTATCATTAATTATCATTTATAATCAATGTAGTAAAAGTAACATATCGTTACAAAGATTTACAACTTCACACTGATTTCACTGATTTGTACAAGGATTTCGATTCATAGAAATACTGCAGTGAGAGTGTAATAAATATTTAGGTCCATATTTTTTTGTTTCACTGTAACGTTGTAATAAACTTTATCGATCATATAAATCATGAGTGAGAAATCATTCTAAATATTCTGTGTTGGGAGACAGATGCAACTTCACATGCAGGAAGAGAGGATGAGGAGGGCAGAGATTTGCCTGGTGAGCATCTGCTTCAGAGGGCGCACACAAAGAGATGGGTGGAGCAGCCAGAAAGCTGATTGCTACTTTCCTGTTAGATCAGCAGATTTATTGGTTTAGAGACACGTGACTGTGGAGAGTGAAACCTGTCGTTAATCTTTAAGCCTGTATGTTTAAAGACGGTAACACCGCAATCACCAAAGTAGACCAACTCCACTCTACAGCCAAGCTACGTCATATTGTCTGTCAGAACAACAACACAAAAGTCATTACACTGAATCTATATATGCATTAAGTTAGTCTCTTTTCACAGATCCATGAATTTTAATTCGGCATTTTTCACTGCAAAATGTCCTGTAATCCAGTTTATCAGTACATCTTCTTCACCGTTATCTAACATTGTTGTTTTATGTTGTTAATAAAAAAAAGTATTGTTTAAAATAGTAAATCAAGAAGGCTTAGAGTTAAATCTGATGCCCGATACAATCATTAACTGCAGTGGAGTCATGTGTAGGATGGATGCAATTAGGCAGTGGAGAAAGCTTTATGTGTCAAAATACTGAAATACAAGAAGAGAGATTGTTCTCACTTTGGTACAATCTATATTTAGATTTCATTGGACAAGCACTGTTTGAGTGCTTGCCCTCACAGAACATCACTGAGTTGAAGCTACATGTTTTATCTCATCTCTTTCTCTATTTCTAATATGGATTGTTGCTTATTGTCTTGTAATCTCTCTTCATATATGAAAGAGACTTATTGTGGTTTAATACTTCAACTCTGGTTTAGAGTTATGCTGAGTACAAAGTACTTATTGGTAGCCCACAAAATGTTACTCAACAGAAGAAAAAACAGGTCATTGCCTTCTTCTTTCTGATTTAACAGGTGTTAAATAGATGAAGCCTGCATAAACATGCACTGTTCTCAGTGTATATAGAGCCCCGTGTCATTCAGAAAACCACTGTAGTTAATGGAGTTCGGGCTAAACAGTTTCTTAGTGAGACAGTGGAAATAACAAAAAAATGCTTGAAGCTTCATTTTTACCCTGACCTTTTATTTTATTTTTGGTCTTTCATGCAAACAGTAAGACAGAATAAGAAAAAAGAACACAGCAATAACTCTTGAATGATCACTTGAAGGCAAAATTCAAAACTCAACCCATACATAATCAAATTAAAACAAAAGCAGCTAGAAAACAAGGAGTAAGGGAATAAATGATACTACTCTCCTTTTAATGACTCACCCTGGTAAAGAATCAATTTCTATTTATCTATATGGGACTTTATGGCCCCAAAATACATGTTTCTCAAACTCTCCTCTTGTCATTTCATTTCATTTTCCTCTCAAATGGATACTTTCACATCTTTATGAGTAAAACATCTTCACCTAAAACAACTTGAGAAGTAAGAATGCTTCTTTATTGCTTGTGAGACCTGTTACCAAAGATGTGTTTATAGTCAGAAGGGCACAAGTCCAACAAGTCGTTAGTCTCAATTCTAATCCAACATTTGACACCCTACTGGTCCCCAGAAGTTCTTGAGTGCAACCAGCTTTGCTTGGAGACATTTGAGGAATATATCAATTTGTTCAAATAAATTAAAAAAAAACTGACACACTTCCCTTCACCAAGTTAATAATAAAATGTAGTAAATGCTCTGATGGCTGCATCAGAGAGCAACTTCAGGTTAGTATTTTGACTGGAGCAGCCAGGGTTCAAACAAACAACCTTCTGGTTAGTAGATGACCTCCTCTACCTCCTGAGCTACTGCCACCCATAAGGAGCAGAATCATTATCTCTCTGTTTGGTCCTGTCCTTACAATACTTCCAATAAAACTGCTGCCTTTTCCAGCTGTGTAGTGATCACAACACCATAGCAGCCAGAAGAGAGCTCAATCTTTCATACAACCAGCATCCGGATCATCATCAAAAGACAGGGATCATCATGGAGGTCGGCAGCCTGTCAGTCAGTCCGAGTCACCATGGAAACCACCTGAGAAGATGAACGACACTGAATGCTGGAAAATCTTCCTGTTTCTGGTGTCATACCAAATTCTATCTATCGTTCTCCTCCCACTTCTTCCTCTTATCTGCTCATCATCAGTATTTGAGATGGACCTTCACCCTGATCCTGGACTGTCAGCCTACAGACAACCAACATTTCACTGACTTAGAAGATCGAACTCATCAGATGTCAAGTTTATAGACTTTTAGTGGGAATAATAAAGACATTATATTTGCTTTAACTCAATTCAAGAACCTGAAATCATAGTTCAGCTGGAATCAGTATTATTTCTGTAGTTTTTCTTTCACCCTCCATCAGTGAGGTTTGAGATGTTTCTATTATATTGAGGCTTTTCATTGTGCTAATGAATAGCACTAACTATCAGCACAGGTCTCAGAATGATATCATCTAAAACAGCAGACTGTGTCTTACCTAATGAGTCCAGGCCATGCTGATGAAGGCTTCACCTTCATATTTGGGCCTGGCATATCTGCGTCTGCGAGCAGCTCCAGGACAAGTCTAAAGACAACGAGAGACAAAGTCCAGACTTAAGAACATCAACGCTGATCCTTTCATTCAGGACTGAATCTGCTGAGAGCAAACATTATAGCTTTTGTGTCAGAATCCCTTAATTGGACCAGTTTAATTCCCAGTGTCCAGTGTTTTGTATAAGTTTTACTTCCCTTGCAGTCTTTTTTTGCTCTGGCTTTTGGAGGAGGCGGATGCATCTTTCACCCTCTCCTTACCCTTATCTTTCCTGCTGCTGCTTCTATGTCCTTGTCTGGTCTTGTCTCACTCTAACCCTGAGAGAGCCTCTCATTCTTGCTCTTGTCCTCTAAAAAGTAAAGAAGAACTATGGCTTTGATCAACTGGTCCCTTAATGCACTTGACATCCTTTTCTCAACGAGAAGCCTAGGAATGGGAGAGCCTGCGTGCTCTGGAGGGACTTTCCTTCCAGATACACGATTTATGGGTGGCAGAAGTGGTGCATCATGTGCCTAGCGGGACTGTCTATTGAAGACATTGAAGACATCTACCTATTCAGCACCATGATAAAGGGGCTCTTCCTGATCTGAGCTGGCTTGGCCCTGGTTTATTGGAAATTGAAGAAAACGATGAATGCTGTTCAAAAGCCCACAAGGCTGGCTGCTTTGATCGAAAATGTGGGAAGAGTGGTGAGTGCTCAGATTGCAATCATTGTGTCTATGCATGTCTAGTAGTTCCAGTTTTAAATTGTGTGTTAACCTTTCCTTATTTCATTGTTACTGTGGATTCTGTTTACGTTTTCCTGGTTGATCACTTGAACAGCCGTTAATGAAGCGCTTTATGTTATGTATGTTGTCTGCCTACTGAACTGCATTTGGGTCATCATTCGTCACTATGTGATGCAAACATCAAAGCCGTGGAAGAATTTTAGAGATTTAATTTGCCTGTGGGTACAGGTATGCCAGATCAATACATCTTTAAAATTCAGTAATGTAGGAGTAGTTACATGCAAATACCGATAATAAAACTCTGAGATGCAAATTTGGTATGTTTTGATAGAGCTTAACACATGCTGCTAGTGTGTTAGCAGAATGCTGTACC